CGAAGTTAACCAGGTGAGAACTGTAATGGGTGATCACAAAGTTACCCAGGTGGCGCCTCCAGGTGCAGCTGCTGTCCACAGATTTTTGTTGCCACCACAAATCAGCAGGTCCTCTGGCACCTGACAGGTGTCAGTCATTCTCAGGGAGAGATGAACCTTGACCCTTAATCTAGTCCAGAAATTCCCAAACCTGGTCAGTGACTGGCCCAGTGTGGGGAAGAGCCTGCCCCTGGGCCAGCTGTCCTTGGAGAGGGAGGAAGAATACCTGACCAGTTGAAGTCAGAGTGAGGCTTGGAGGATATTTCCTAAAAAAGAAAGGTGTTGCTGGCTCTCACGTGGGCAAAGCAGGCCCTAGGCAAGCTGAAGGATAGATGCCCGTCGCACACTTTTGTTGAAAAAATAAATGTATGAAATGTGTGTTACCCCCCCCCCAAAAAAAATCAAGCAAAATTAAAACAAAGTTCTAATATGACTTCAGGGCCTTCTTAGCCACTTTGCACCTAAGTGACCCATCTGAAAGAACTTTGAGGATGCCTCAACTTACAACCAGATGGTTATCAGATCAGATACATTCTCTGAAATGTGGGGTCTAGCGCAATAGAGCTAGGATTCAGTGGGTGCTCATGCTGCCCTCCTCTACCGGGAACTTTAGTGACTCCTGATACTGAGCAATTCTCAGGCCTCCATCCACCCCCGCTGCTGAGTGACAAGTGGGTGTGGATTTCTGGAATGATGACACAGCAGGAGGCTTCCACTGTGGCAGCCCCAGTCCACCCCTTGTTGAAACTGCAAGAGCAGTCTGGCTTAGATACAGTTGCTCATTGCATAACGATCCAATTATTGAGATGAGGATTGCCAAGGAAGAAAGAAGGAAAGATGTCTGTCTGAGAATGTCCAGATCTCAAATCCATCTCTTGAACTAATGGAGGTGACTGGCTTTGTGGGGAGAGGCCACATGCACTGGGACAGGTCCTGATGCAACTGGGAGCATCAGGCACGGGGGGAGGTGGAGGGGCGGCAACTAAAAAGTTCAAGTAGTTAGTTAAGGGAGAGGATCCTACAGAGCATATAGGAGTCACTGAAACTGCTTACAACCCCCCACTGAAGAGGAGGGCCAAGGACCAGTCCCTGTGCTGACATCATCACACACCCAACAGGTGTCCAGGGACCAAGTTCCCAGAGCTCCTAGCTGACGAATCCATCTGCCTAAAGGCAGGGAGAGGAGGAGGCAATGAGGAAGAGCCCAGCAATGAGAAGTCTGTGTGCGCCCCACTCTCTGGGAGGTGGTCCTGAAGTTGCATCTCTCCAGGATATGTTGGGAAGGTGAAGGTGGTGGGTTGTTTTTCATGCGGGGCTGAGGCTCCAAAGTGGACAGGAAATGCAGAGCTCACTCAGTCATTACTGCCCCAGGTGTCCCCTAAGCGACCTGCCTGGTTGTGGGGAGCCAGCTCTCCAGGGGCACTGGCCTTGGTCTCTTTGGCCGAGCGTTAGAGAACTGCTCTGTGATACACACATCTGCCAGCAGATGCTGCTAGTGCCCTGCCCCCTTCCTGCTCAGACACAGGCCCTGCGTCCTACATCTGCAGGCAGGAGCTCATCGGGCCTCTCGGTGGGACAGGCTGAACATGCCGGACATAAGGAGTCAATTCCAGGAGGAACCCTCAGACAGTGCAGGATGGGACCAGGAGACAATTCCTCAAGCTTCCTCCCCGCTCACTGCCTTGGCCTCTTAGGCCGAGCTGTGAGAAGTGACCCATAGGGCTCCTCAGGGAGTCCCCACCAGTGAAGCCCAGCTGCCCTCAGCAGAGACTCACTTCTGAGTGCCCTGCAGCTGGCCCTCCTCCTCCCCTCTGTGTACCTGCTCACTCACAGAACTTCCACCTCCCATCTACTGGCACCCCAAGATAGCCTTGAGGTCTCCTTTTAGGAAGAACCATTCTCCCTTTAGGAAGAACCTTATAACACAAATGGACTCTGGACACCAGAAGCATCCCATGCCATCAGTCTGCTGACAGCCAAATGGCCCAGGGCCAGGGTCTACTAGGTATGTGCGTAACAGGGGACCCTCACAGCAGGCGCTGGCCAGAACCCACTCCAATTGCCTGGCCTATCATTGGAAATGTAGGCAGGGATAGAAGAGGAGCACTTTGAAAATCTTGGAAGAAATATGTGAAATCAAGAATGAGAACTGAAAGTAAAATCCTAAGTCCCCCAGCCCAGAGAATGGAACCCTCCCGGCCAAGGGCATGCCAGAGAAACCTTCAAAACTGAGGAGGCTTAGCACCTGTGACTCAGGCAGCTAGGGCACCAGCCACATACACCAAAGGTGGCGGGTTCCAGCCCAGTCCAGGCCTGCCCACAGCAATGACAACACAGCCAAAAAATAGCTGGGCATTGTGGCAGGCACCTGTAGTCCCAGCTACTTGGGAGGCTGAGGCAGGAGAATCGCTTAAGCCCAAAGAGTTTGAGGTTGCTATGAGCTGAGATGCCACGGCATTCTATGGAAGGCGACATAGTGAGACTCTGTCTCAAAAAAAAAACAAAAAACCTGAGGAGTTCCCAGCCATAACGAGACAGGAGGTCAGGTTGTTACACTCTCTCCCTTTTGCAGTTTAGACACAACAGACCAGCATCAATGTTAAAATAGAGATGCTAAGACTAATAGAACAGACTCTGTGGTGAAAAGACGCTAAATTATGAGTAGGAAACAGGCTGTGCCAGGTGAGAGTTGTCACCTACCCCCTACACTTAAAGAGTAAACTATGTTCCAACTGCCACAGATTTTTCTAGCTGAACAAGCACTGGCCTCCAGATAAGCAGTATGGAAACAGTTGCAGGTCCCCGTTTTCCACCAGCTGTAAGTACAGCTTTGAGGGGATAACCACAGAGGACGCACACTGAGTGCCTTTGTGTCCTGAGAAGACCTCTTGAGGTATAGGGACCAACTGTAATACATTTCAATGTTAAGTCCCCACCCAAAGTGAACATGGCACACATGTAACACGCGAGCTCATCCAATATGCACATGTGGCCCTTCATGAATATTCACAACTCTTTCTGTAACCTGTTGAATATGCATGTTCGGCCACCCATTCAGCCCAAAGCTCCTGCTCCACCCTCTTCTTCCAGCCTCCCCACCTCCCTTTCAGCCCAGGGCCCATTTCCCAGCCTGCAGGTTGGGATTCCCCTTCTGAGAAATAGTCTCCTCTCCAAATTTATAAAACCTTGGGATATTTTTTTGACAAGGGCAGGGCTTTGTTTATTGCAGGGCTTTGTCCCCACCAGTCCCTCACAGCTGAGCAAAGTTCATGCTCCATCCATCAGCTCCCGGAAACTGAGAAATGACCATCCCAGGAGATCACTCTCCCCACCATGTGGAGGAGGTACCAAGGATGGTGTCTTCTGTGCCCAGGCCAGCCGCTGTTCATAACTCACAGATTCCCAGACTGGACAGACAGGAAAGGAGCTGGCCACTGCTGCTGGCCGCACCGAGCTGGGCTGCACTACCGTCATAATGTTCCATCCCAGCACAAACCGCCATGAGGAAGGTGCTACTGTGTCAAGCAGCATAAATTTATTTTCAACTTGCAGAGACCCTTTATTCTCAGTTTGACCGGGTTGTGCATTGAGGTTAGAGAGCGCCTTGGAGAGAAGATGAACTACGTGGTAAGAGATTTTACATTACACCCATTCTGCCTGGAGAGACCTCAGAGAAGCGACAGGAGGGTGGGGTGATGTGCCTGCTGCAGCAAGAGGGCAGTGTGGGCTGGTTTGCCTCAGGGCACAGGTGCAGGGCTATGCACCACAATGACTGGGTAACAAGGAAGTAGACTTCCACTTGGGCCATTTACTTCCACCTCCTTTCTCTAGGGGCACTTCAGAATGAAATGGAATGGTATTTTCTCATTTGCTGTGGTCTCAAATTGATGTCTCTTGCTTTTAGATGCAATTTGTCCAGGAGGGGGGCGTGAAGGGCTGCAGCCCAATGGTCCTTGGCTGGGAGTAGGTTCTGTCTGGCTGCTGGATCTCCTGGGGTCACCAGCAGACCCTTGGAAGGCTGTCTCATCGTCTGACCACCAACACTGCCCCCAGCAGCCAGAGGGCACTAATGGAGCATCTTTTAGAAAGATGCTGACGATTCCCCCACCATGCACGGAAGTCCTCTCTGTGCTTAGAAATTGAGATTCATTAAATAATGAAGCAGTGACTGGCTCAGGACGCCAACACAGCTGCGAGAGAAACAGGATATGAGGGGTGATCCCCACCAGGTGTCAGTGGAATCAGAACTGTGGCAAAGGCTCCAGGCACAAGAATTCTCACCTGGTCCCATCAGCTGTGGACAGCGACCTCAGTCTCCCCATCTCTAGAGTCCCCAGAGCAGTTCCCACATAAATCACCCCCAGTCCATCCTGATCGATGCACTCAATGCAGGCATGTCAGCGGGTCTCTGAGGCTCTGCAGTACCAAGACCCAGGCCCCCCGAGCTGAATGGTGATGCTCCATGGTTTAGCGGCCACCTACCAGGATGTAGGTTAACTAGGGCTTTCTTTATGTTGCCTCCCTGGGCTCCACCCCATGACCTTACCTGCAAGCATGGGACAGGCCCCCACCTGAGGACTGGGGATGTTTACTAAGCCCATTCACATCCCAGAGAGAAACTCCAGATATGGTAGTTTAACGCCCACCCTTACATCTCCTTTCACATAATTCACTGACTGGGAAGCATGCAGCTTGGGCCTTGGGATGTGTCCCTTCGCTCTGTTCTTTGATGCTGATTTTTTTTT